TAACTGTAAGGTAGGATGAAGTGGTCATCGCTGGTACTTTTTTTTTTTTTGCAAAAGACGCAGTTAGGGCAGATCATAGAATAGAATCATAGAATAAGTAACTCCCTTAATATTAAAAAGAATTTCTGCAGATATTTCGCTATACCTATAAAAAAGACATCCTATAAGTAAGTAAAAGTCTGAGGACTGAAAAAAGTTTTCCTGAAAAGAACAGACATGCAGCTTTGAAAGAAGGAACCTGTGTTCGGCCTCACCCACCGTAATAAAAATGTCAACTAGAGCGGTCTCCTCACCTCCTCCAGGAGCCAAGTTCGATAGCACCGCGGCTGTGGGTGCTAAGGGTAGTGGGGGGACTCCGAGGCTTTTTGTTCCCTGCTCTGGAATTTTGGTGCCTGATTTAATTGGAGATGCTTTTCGCTGGGCCCGAGTTGTAGCTAATGAGGAAGCTGCTTCATAGATCCAGGTCATGAGGTGGGTGTGTGACGGGAGGGCGAGGACAAGACTTTCAGGATGTGGGTAAGAGATCAGACTGACCTTCCTCAGGAGGGAACATGCCTTAGCTGAAGGGGTAGGTGGGCAGGAATGTGGGCAGTTGGGGGAGAGGGGACTCTGTTGAAACCAAAGCATGGTGTGACCTGAGGGGAACAGACCGAGGGAGACTGTCTGCTTAGCCTCGGGGCCCCAGACGTCATGGAGCCAGCAGGGAAGCTCAGAACGCTCTGCTTTGCAACACCAGGGACACTGGCCACAGCATAGAACAGAACAGAGCAGAGCGAATGGCCATCTGGTTTCTGCGATGAGGGTGTCCAGGGGCTGCTAGGGTGGCAGAGAGGAGACGACAAGCTAGGCCTCGAGCATGCACCTGGCGCGACTTCTGTCTCTGGCGGGTGGCATGGGTGTCCCTGATAGGGAGAGGCACAGGACGACAGCAGATTTGGAGAGAAGGTGCTGGATTGGACATGGTTCAGAGCTCCATGGTAGGAGCACTGTTGGCCTGTCTGAGCTGGAGCTGTGTTCCCCCTGGTGTTGGCCAAGGGGAGACATGCGGAGGAAGGGCAAGAGGTCTGCATGGGTGAGGCAGGAGGAGGGAGTGGGGGGCAGGCGACTGCAAGGGGGCCACCTGGCTAGCGCTGGCCTCCCCAAGGCTCCTTGGGCATCAAGGCAGGGAGGCCATTAAGCATCTTCACTGGGCAGATACAGCTGCAGGAAAGTAGTTGAAGTATCAGTTGAGACCTTGAGCTTGGCCTCTAAATCAGCCTGGGACAGGTCCCCTGTGGGGACAGTCGGAGAGGAGGAACTGGGAGGATAAAACAGCATTTACTGCCCACTTACCAACTGCAAGGCATGTCCTTGGCTTCTGGCCTGTTAAAAAATAACTAGCTACACATTGTCACAGGGCACTTATGTGGCACACCCTACTTTATTTTTATTATTTTAAATTGAAAGATGATGCAAAAATATTTATAAGATATCATTCTGGTTTTGTACATTTATTTTTATTTATTTATGCATACAGAAACTGGGGTACAGGCCAGACTTGGGGGGGGGGTGAGAGGATTCATCAGAGACAGAGTAAGGAGCAGAACAGGCGGATCCACTGAAATCCACTGCTGAGGGGAGCAGCGGGTGAGGCAGGAGAGGTCTGCTGCGCCATGTGGGAATCTCCCTGGCCGGTCAGGGATGGAACTCTTGCTTCAGAGGCTGCGGACAGATTCAAAGCGCTGCGCTCAACCCGCTGTGCCCCCGGGGAGGCCCCTGCATTTCTTTTTTCTTTTAACGGTAAAAATATTTTATCTGCTTTTTCTGATTCTGATTTGGCCATTGAAGTCTATGCTGTTTTTGCACACTCAGATTTTCGATCATTCTCCAGCTTCATGACGGAAGTTCTACAACATGGCCGACACAATTTTAAATGAACTCACCTAATCCCCCAACAGCACTGCAAGGTGGATACTCTTGTTCTTCTTCTCCAGAGGAGGCAGGTGAAGGACAGAGAGCTCAGGGCACTGGCCCGAGGCCGCACAGCCTGTTGCTGCTGAGCTGGGGCGGGAGCCCTGGGTGCTGTGTCTCTGTGACCCTGGCAGTGACTCGGTGGGGGGTCAGACTTAGTGACGTGAGTGGAACCTGCCTGGTATCTGTCTGGTGAGGATATGGGCTGCGAGGTTGGGGCATGGAGAAGGGCAGCTGGAGGCAGGCCTGGCAGAATCTCTTGGAGCTCTGCAGGAGCACTGGGGTGTGAGGAGCAGCTGACCTAACTGCCTCCCTGGAACCTCCCCAACCCACACCCCCTTGTACAGCTGTAGGTGTGTGTACGCGGGTCCACAGGTGTTCGTGTTGGACTGGGGGAGTCCCCTGGAAATGGGCAGAACTGAAGTCTGGACAGGCAGAGCAGGGAAGAGGGTGGAGATGTAGGCAGGAGCTGAAGGGAAAGAGAGCATTACTGTTTCAAGCTTAGGACCTTAGGGTGCCCGCCCTGCCCTCCCTGGCTAGATGGACAGAGGAGGGCTAGTCTTTGGGTGGAAGCCTGAAGTATTTCTATTCTCCCTAACTCAGAAGACCTCTGGGGTGACTCCGATGTTGGGGTCCTTTCTGTAAAAAAGGACCTGGGGTGAGTATCTAAGCACTTGGTGAAGACGTGTGTGTGTGTGTGTGTGTGTGTGCGCGCGCACATATGTGTGTGTGCATACACACACACAGAGGCAAAGAGAAGGGTCTGAGAGAAAGGGAGCTTTCCTGGAATGGGCACAGGTTGAACATCAGAAGGCAAGGATGTGTCAGGAGAAGTCAGATACCTGGGCAAAACAACAATAGGTGCAAAGGCCTGGGGGTCTGAAGCTGCCTATTCTGGACTGAAAGTTAATTTGATGGTTCAGGGACTAGAGGGTATAGGTAGAAATGAGACTGCACAAAAATGCAGGGTTGGTTGGTACCAAGAAAGTCTTGAACTTAAACTTGGAGGCAATAGGGAGCTATGGAAGAATTTAGAGGAGGGAAGGCCATGATCTTAGTTGCCCCTCCTGCTGTCTGGAGAACAGGCTGCACAGAGGAGGAAAGTAATGCAGAGATGATAAGGCCTGAATCGAGTGGAGGCGTGCAAGGAAGAGGGAGAGTTTTTAAACTTTAGGACCTTTTATTCAAATACAGCATGCACACAGAAGATTCACGAGTTCAGTACCTGCTTGTGTCATCACCTCAAAGACAGCATTACCAGCCCCTAGAAGCCTCCACTGTGCCTCTCTCTGGTCACCCCACCAGGGTAACCCCCAATTTGACCTTGAATAACACAGACTCGTTTTGCCTGGCATTTGGACTTGATACAAAAGGAAGAAGTCACGCGTCCTCTTCAGGTCTGGCTTGTCTTGCGCAGCTTGTCAGGTCTGGCTTGACTCTGCTGGTGAGTCTCATCCGAGTTGCTCCAGGTTGCAGTCCTTGTTCATTGTTGTTGTCTAGCAGGGTTTCTCAACCACTGTTGACATTTGAAGCTGAATAATTCTTTGTGTGTCTCATGCATCGTAGGATGTTGAGCAGCAACCCAGGCCTGTATCCACAAGATGATGGCAGCAACCCCTCCGAGTGTGACAACACAAAATGTTCCTAAACATTGCCAAATGTGCCCTCGGGGCAAACATCCCCTCTGGTTGATATTCACTGCTATATAATATTCCATTGTGTAAAGTCATCACAATTGATTGACTCATCCTTTTGCTGGGCATTTAGATTGTTTCCAGTTTGGGGTTGTTTCTAGCAGAGGTGGTAGAATATTTTTGTAGGTTTCTTTGGATGAATGTGAGTACAATTTACTCTGCCTTTATTCCTTGAACAGATTGGTGAGTCATAGTGTGCTTATTTAGGCTTTATGAACATTGTCAATTTTCCAAAGCTGTTGTGCCATTTGTACTCCCATCAGCAACGTTGAAGCGTTGCTTGGTATTGTCTTTCTCACATTAACTATTTTAGTGGGTGTGGAGTGTCATTTTGATGTTAGTTTGCCTTTCCCCAATGACTCATCATGTCAAGCATCTTTTCATTTATTGGTCATATGGAGATTGCCTTTTGTAGAAGGCCCATTTTTTCCTTTGGGTTTTCTGCCTTTTTCTTCTTTATTTGTAAGCACTCTTTATATAAGTTGTTATATGGTAACACCAGAGACACCTTTACTCTAGTTTCTCTGGCCCCTCTGGTCACTTCTATTAAATGGACACTCCCTGGTTACATTGACCATCAGGTCACACTCCACTCTGGCCCCCAGACTCCAGTGGCTGCCAATTTGTAGCGACCTGATCTCTCCAGCCACTGCAGGGGGACACAGTTGAAGGACAAGGACCCACACAAAATCATTGCATTCCCCATAGGGACAACCACTTCCTAATCTATATCTTCTTTCACAGGCAGAGATGCTTTCATGGACAACAAATAGTGATACTGGGTGTGTTTTTAATTTATATAGCGTCACACTGTACTATTGTTACATAACTTTTGTTTCACTCAGCAGTATGTTTCTGAGATATATTTATGTTGATATAGAAATGGTGTTGAGAGTTATTTGTTCATTTTCTCTTCTGCCCCCACATGCACAGCCTCCCCTCACTACAGGAAAGAACCAGAGCGGCAGCTTTCTTATAATCAGTGAACTCACGCTGGCATATCATATCATTGTCACCCAACACCTGTAGTTGACACTAGAGATAACACTTGTTTTTGTACATTCTGTGGGTTTAGACAAATATATTATGATGTGCATCCACCATTACAGTATCATACAAAGTAGTTTCACTGCCCTAAAACCCTTCGTGCTCCTCCGATCCATTCCTCTCTACCTACCAGCCCTGATCCTTTTACTATCTCCCCAGTTTTGCCTTTTCCAGACATATGCTTGGAACCACACAGTACACAGCCCTTTCAGACTGGCTCCTTGCACTTGGTGATAAGTATGTAAATTTCTTCCGCTTTGGTGCATGACTTGAGAGGCCATTTCTTCTGCCATCCACCCCTTTTTTTAACAGGAGAAAATTCGCACACAGTCCCCACTATCACAAATCATGCAGCTGAATTTCTCACATCTGGGGAAATTGCAGGGATCAGCACATCCAAAGTGCAATGGGTCAGCATCAGCCTGGGAGACCTTTATGATGAAGGGATCTCCCCAGCCTGGTCAATGTGCATTCCTTTTTCAGAGCTGAATAATACTCCGGATGTACCCCAGTCTGTTTATTCACTCACTTACTGAAGGATGTCTTGGTTGCTACCAAGTTTTGGCAATTATGAGTAAGGCTATAAACAGCCATGTGCAGGTTTTAGTGTGGACATAGATTTCCACTCCATTGAGTGATTATGAGGCCATGTGATTGCTGGGCAAGATGGTAAGAGTCTGTTTTCTTTTGTAAGAAACTGCTAGACTGTTATCAGTGGCTGGACCATTTTACATTTCCACCAGCCATGGATGAGTGTTCTGTTGCTCTGCAGACAACAAGATTTTAATTAGAAAAATCTCGAAAAAGAAATCGGGTTCTATCTGTAGGCAGTTTTTTTCCTAGAACATTATATGAAAATACTTTGCATATTGTTAGAAAAATCTTTCCATAGTACGTCAAGAATATTTTAAATGACAAATAATAGATTTTATCATGTTATCATAAGGCAGCTTACTTAACTATTCACCTTAGGCTTTGTACTAAGTGAATACTAAAATAAGGCTACCGTGATATTGGTAGGTGTAAATATTTGTCTACTTCTCGTATTTCTTCGGAATGAATTCTCAGAAGTGAAAATACTGGCCTGAAAAAGACAAACATTTTATGATTCTTTGTACACGTTGCCAAATGCTCTCCAGAAGGTTGCAATTTATGCTGAAAGCAGCAAGTCAAAATAAGATTCTGTGATTTAAAAGTCACTGTTAAAATAAACAAGACGTCTCCTTGTTAATTAGCAGTTAGTATCTGAGCATTCACGATGGTGCTTCACCTCTTGATCTGCTCTTTTCACCAGGATCTTTGTGACTTTCCTGCTTATGGACTTTTTCATCTCTTGGTTAGAATATTAATAGAAATTGATCCATGTAACCTCTTTAAGTTTCAAAGAGACACATCCCAGTACATTCCCTTCCCATTTCTCCAATGAGCTTCAATTTAGAAAGCTTTGACATCTCAGATTGAAATCCATTTTCTTTTATTTCCTTCTATTTATATGGATGTGCCTAGTTTGGTTTTCAGATATTTAATTCTTCAGATCACCTGGTATTTCTTAGCTATTGTCGCCTGACAAATGACTTCCTACAACTTAGCGGTTGGAAACAGCTGTAAGTATTTTTTGTCTTCCCAATTTCCTGTGGGTTAGTAGTTTAGGAGTGACTTGGCTGGCAGGTTCTGGCAAGGGGTTCCCTGGGAGGTTTTTACAGTTAGGTGCTGCTTGGAGCTGTGGTCGTCCGAAGACTTGACTGCACTCATTTGGGAGGAGGCTGTCTGTTGGTGGGGTCTCCTCTGCTTCTGGCTCCCCATCACACAGGTGTCTCCCCAGGGTGACCGGGACATAGCACCCCTGGCTTCTGGATCCCTCCAGATCAAACAGTCCAGAAGAAAGACTGCTTCTCGGCCTTTTGGCTAAGATCAAGTGCAAACAGTCCAGAAGACCGGAGGTGGTCAGCTCTAACCTGTGGGTCAAATCTACCGTTTTCATAAGTTAACCTGTTGGGACACACGCCCGTTTGTCCACGTGTTGAGTGGCTGCTTCTGCAAGACAAGAAGCCAGGTCGTTGTGACAAAGATTGTGTGACTCACCCAGGCATCAGATATTTACTATCTAGCCAAGCAATCACTTGCCTATCCCTGCAAATAACCATGGCAGAAACTGCAATGCCTTTTATGACTTCACCTTGGAAGTCACCTTGGATTCAATGTAGGAGGGGACTTGGGTGCCGGGAGGTGAGGCTGATGGCAGGTGGCGGTGCATCTTCATGGCTGACTGCCACACCCCTGGAATTTGTTTGCAGAGATTGTGAGAAAGATGCAAAGAATTCAATTTCCTTTTTCTGTCACTAAACATCCATTTGGTCTGGGACAGCAATATGTTTAAAATATAAATGTCCCCAGAATCCCTCCCATCTCGACGTGGCCACGTGGCAACTTCTGTGGTTCACTCAGAGATAAGTGGACATTGATTGTAGGGCTCCCGAAAATCTATTGTTTTGCAGCTTAGAAAACTATTTCATCCCATCCCTTTACACATGATCCTTCCCCGCTGCCTGCAACACGGTCGTGATGCCTGGAAGCACAGCAGCCCTCGTGACACCCTGAGGACAAAGCCACTTGGGAAGATGGTGACGCCACGGGGGGCATCCTCGGTCCAGTGATCAGAGCCTCTGCATCAGCGCTGGGCTCTTCCTGCGCTGATCCTTCGTTGGGGAGAACAGTAGGAATCCACCAGCCTGCGTCGGCCACCATTAGTAAGTTATGTGTTTCTTACACATATCTAAGTGCACCCCAAAGTGGTTCCTGTGTAGTATGAGGTCTGATTTTTTTCAATTCCCAGATAGATCACTCGTTGTTGTTGTTGTCGTCTTACCACCATTTATAGAGCTGTGACCCCATCGCTGCTATGCAAGAACCACGCACATGCACACACAAGGGCTTCTCAGTCCATGGATCCTGTCTCAAATCTTTTAACTATTTTAGCTACAAAATTGTGTTTCCATGCAGTGGAACCAGACTAAGATGGAGTCGTCATCAGGGGCAAAAGGGATGTGGCCCTTGCCACAGGGCCACACAGGGCAGCTGAGCTAACCTCGTGGGAATTCCCAGAAACCCGCGGTCCCCAGGCCCTGAGCCCATTCACACCAGCGCTGGAATTCCTCGGTCCCCTGGCTCAGCCACCCTGATCCATAGTAAGAGAGACCCTCCCCCCCGCCCCACACTCCGCCCAGGTGACCGACCAGCCAAGAAACCATATCACCCGGTGTCCGGCCCAGCAAAACCCCTTAGTTTGAGAGCAACTGGGAACTCTGTCTCCTGTGACCTGCACCCCGCCCCTCCCCCCTCCATCTCCTTTGAGCTTGGGACTGCTCCCTGCAAAGGAAGCAGCAAATCCATTCGGCTATTGCTGGAGCAACAGGCACTAAGGTTGCTGCTGTGGGTCGGCGCAGGCCCAGCTGGTCACCACCGCCTCCGGGGCGACCGTCTGGGGGCACTCTGAGCATCATGCTGCTGGACGGCTCCCCGTGCTCTGGAACCTCTTGCCCAAGGAGTGAGTGGTGGAGGCTGTTCCTGCCGTCCTTGCTGATCAGCCTGAGTCTGGATCATCCCGTCCATTCACCCACCCCTGGGAGCCCCTGGCGGGTCCGGGGTCCCCTGGTGGGGACCGAGTGCAGCCACAGGCCTGGGGGCGCAGACCCCGAATCCTCTGGCCGCCGTCCCCAAGGCTCCACCAGGCTGGCTCCAAGGCGCCTGCTTGGCCTGCACGGGAGCATGGCGGGTGCTTGAAACTTGATTTCTTTTTTTTTTTTTAAAGATTTATTTATTTATTTTAAGAGTTATTTATTTATTTATTTATTTGTTTGTTTGTTTGTTTGTTTGTTTATTTATACAAGCACTGGGTACAGTCAGAAGCACAGGAGAGTGAGAGAATTCACCAGAGCCAGAGCAGGCAGAAGGACCGAAGGACACTGCTGAGGGGAGCAGCGGGCGCCAGGAGAGGTCTGCGTGCCATGTGGGACCCTCCTCTGGTGGCCGGGGAGCGGCCGGGGATCGAACCGGCGCTGCAGAGGCTGTGGGCAGCTTTGCAACCCAGCGTTCAACCACTGCACCACCGGGGAGGCCTTGAAACTTGATTTCTTTTAAACTCGGAAGAACAGAGTGCATCAAAAAGACCTGTAACAATAAATCCAGCCTGGATTATATTCCCTTTTACACCAACACAGCTCTGAGTATAATTGCCACTATTTTCTGAGCTGTTCACTCCCGCAGGACGCTTTAGCTGTCACGTGCAGGGAAGATGGGCCGAGGGTGGGCGGGCGGCCGAGGCTGGACGGTCATCCTGTCTTCTCTGTCATATCCTCACTCACAGCCAGGATCCGGGGTTTTCTGGAGGGAGCAACACCCTCTAAGAGGAGATCCACGATTGGATACGGCTGTCACCACTCCCAGCCTTGCCAACAGTGAGTTGAATATCAAAAAGACAACCCTCTCACCCCCACCCCAGACCAGCCCCACCTGTAGGAAGCCAAGTGGCTCCAAAGAAAAGATTCCCCGAGGAAGACAAGAGCACTGGGAGCCCAGGGTGCCTCTGGGGTCAGGACCCAGCCGGGGGCTGACGTGAGGCCAGCCGTCAGAGAGGGCCTGGAACCCGCTACTGCTCTCCCCAAAGGAAAGCATTTTTGGCGTCCTTCAGTGTTTTCTTGGAAAATAAGATTTTCGTATACTGTTAAGACTTTCCCTTTAATCATAGCAGTGCTGGGGGGAAGCCACAGGAGCGCGAAGCTTCTGGGTTACCCCAACATCCTTCTCTCCATCAGTGCCCAGGGGGCAATTGATAGGCAGGAGGCACACGGAGCAGAACAAACTGGGCTTCCTGAACGTGTCTGCAGGGCCTGGAGCCACAATAGCTCCACAGAACCCTGCGCATGTCTCCGAGGTGCAGTTCGAGCAGTTTATGAGGTGGTGGTGCCCCAGCTGGGCACGCTCAGGCAAACTGCTTTCTTGTTTCATCACATGTTAAGTGCAGGAGCAGAACCGGTTCGACATGCTTGTGACCGGCACAGCCGAGGGTTCTGGGCTCAGCTGCCCGGCGCTTGCTTTCATGCCCTGCTCTTGCCTTCTGGAAATTTCTTCTTTTTCCCCTTCCAGGTTTTTTTTATTGTTGTTGTTTAAGATTTATTTATTTATGCATACAAGAGCTGGGCTGCAGACCAGAAGTGGGGGGGGGGGGGTAAGAGGATTCCCCAGAGACAGAGTGGGGAGCAGAACAGGCAGATCTACCGAAATCCACTGCTGAGGGGAGCAGCCGGGAGACAGGAGAGGTCTCCTGTGCCATGTGGGTAGCTCCCTGGCTGGGGATCGAACTCATGCTGCAGTGGCTGCAGATAGCTTCATAGTGTTGCGACTTAACCCCATCAGGGAGGCCCCTCCCCTTCCAGTTTTGTTGATACATATAATTGACACATATACCATGT